TGTGTGTATATATACACTGTATCTCATAACAGCTTGCAAAACTTTTGGCTCCACCTAGTGGCACAGTCAGTAGCAAACTGAACTGTGGTGATGGAAGCCAGGTGACTGACTACAGGTTTGGAGCCCTGGATCAGCCTGCAAACACACTGGATGCATGTATACATGTCCAAGATTCCAATGAGGTTGAAGGCTTTGGAAAGGGTATCATGATGTTAGAAGACCTATAGAGGATGATTCTCTCTCTAATATGATAAAGAAAAATATATGTTTTATAAAAAGACATGTTTTATTTCTAATTCTGCAAAAAATGTTTTTGGAATTGTGATAGGATTAAATTATGTGTCTGTACAAGGGTATCTTCAAGAGTTTATGGAAAATGTGCAGTATGAAAAAATTATGCTTGGGTTTCAATACTTTTTGCACCAATTGAACTGTACTCCTATTTTCCACAAACTTTTTTTTTTTTTTTGCGTGTTTGGGCACAGGCACTCACAAGAGAGAGAGAAAGAAAGAAAGAAATCACCTCCCACCCCAGGGAGGATGACCACACTGTGATTCTTTCTCCATCTCTCTTGGGATTTTGGGCACACACTTGCCCCTGTGTGATTGTGATTTTCAAGCCACCAGCTCCAAGACTCAAACTGTGGTCAGCTATGTGGGATCCAATGCCTTAACCACCACCTGCCAGTTCCTCCACAAACTTTCTGACAACCTTTTGTATTTGTATAAAAAAATAATAAAAAAAAATGGAAAAAAAACAAGTACGAGCAACAGAGAAAGAAATACAAAACAGCAGTATACCCATATAATAAAATATTACTCAATGATACAAAGGACAAATCAAATTTGATAAACCCGTGTGGATGGCTCTCAAAATAACTGGGTGAAGGGCCAGCAGATGGTATGCTAGTTAAGATACTGGATTACCACATGACTGACCACAGTTCAAGTCCCAGACCTGGACACTGAGCTTGTGTGCATGGATGCCCCAAATCCTGAAAGAAGAATGGAAGAGAAGAGATTGCATTGTGGACATTCTGGGGAGGTTTCTCACTTTCTCTCTCTCTCTCTCTCTCTCTCTCTTTCTCTCTCTCTCTCATCTCTTTCCAGACAGTAAACACACCCTATGGAAAAAGAAATTTAAGAAAAGTAGATAAGTAACAGTTTTGAATAATGGAAGCTAGACCAAAAAATAAAAAAGAATACATGTTCTATGATTCCATTTACATGTTGAGATCTGATATAGCTGAGAGACTATTACATTTTTATTATATATTTTAAATAGCAGTATTGATCCCTAATGTCTCCCAGAAGTTGTCAAACTATAAACTTACATTTAATTAAATTTGTAAAAAAAAAGTAAACATTTTAAAACCAAAAGTCAATATGTAGTGAGAGAAATCAATTTAATGACTGCTTAATGAACATGTCAGGGGATGTAAAAGTAAAAAGAATAAATCGGGACAAGCAGTTAGCATAATGGCTATGTCGCTGGACTCCCACGTAGTCGACCACAGTTCAAGTCCTGGACCCGGTGGCGTAAACTCATGCCGGGCACATGTGCATGCGTGCCCAAGATCTCGAGAGGAGAATGGAGGAGAAGGGATTACAGCATGACCATCCACCCGGGGGGTGATTTCTCGCTTTCCGTCTCTCTGTCTCTGTCTATCTGTCTGGCAAGCACATGTGCCCTATAGCAAAAACCTCTCAAAAAAAGAAAAAAGAAAAAGAATAAATGACAGCTCAACTGTCATATGAACATTAAATTATTGTTTTGGCAAAAGTTTCATGAACTTAAGGAGTACAGCAACAGTGATTTTTTTTTAATTTGCCATAAGGCATGTACATTCACTAGAGAGAGAAAGACAGAGACAGAGAAGGAAAGTGAGAAATCAAGAAATCACCCCAAGGGGGATGACCACTCTGCAATCCTCTCTTCTCCATTTTCCTCTCAAGATTTTGGACACATATGCATAAGCACTGAGTGTGATTTTCAAGCCCCCAGGTCTAGGGCTTGAACCATAGTCAGCCATGTGGAAGTTCAGTGCATTAAACACCATTCCACCTGCTGGTCCTGCAACTGTGATTTTATCAAAGGAACACAGTTCTCTCTTGTTTGAGAGAAGGACAACTATTTCCTGGAGGTTATGTCCCTATTACAACTCAATGCTTTAGAGACTCAAGGGACCTAGTCAAGATGGATTCCTCAGTCTCATATTTGGAGAAAATTGTCTCAGATCTGGGATAAGATATTACAATGTTAAACTTCTGAAAGGGAGAATTAATGCTTAAGGAGTACCAAGTACTGAATTCACTTGATTTTTTAACCTTGTCTCTTGAGAACAAAGATCTGGAGGAAAAATTTAACTTTCTGCTCAGAGCAATGTCTCACAGGGAATGTACTCAGGGTTTGAAGTAATAAGAGAAAAATGTGCTTAATGAGCCGAGATACAGAGCTATAATTATCTCCTCCAAGGTGGACCCTCAGTATTTGCAAACTTGGGCAGAACATGGTTATTTCTTTCACTGTCCTAAGTCTGTCTCAAGAACCCACACTCCACTCTTGCTATTTTCTACAGAGACAGAGCGTCAGTTTCCATTGACACCTTTCAGTAAGTAAGCCACAATTTTACACAGACTTATCTTTCAGAGATTCTGTTCCGGTAATAGAGCCCAGTGAAACGACATATAAAAGGTAATACATTTATAATAGAACTAAAAAGGGGATAACAAGCCAGGGGTTGACCAGAGGTTTTGACAAACATCTGAAAGGCTGAAACCATGAGCAGTTACTTTGACAAATAAATAGTGGGGAACTTGCACAGCTCATAGCACAGAAGAAAGTAGAAGGGGAAGACACATTTTTTTAGAGGTTTTTGCTATAGGGTGCGTGCACTCACCAGACAGACAGAGAGAGACAGAGAGACAGGAAGTGAGAAATCACCCCCCCAGGGGGGATGGCCATTCCACAATCCTTTCTCCTCCATTCTCCTCTCAGGATGTTGGGCACACACACACGGTGTGTTTTAAGCCACTGGGTCTGGGTCATGAACCACATGGGAGTCCAGCAACATATCCATTACGCTAACTGCTGGTCCTGGAAGACACATGTTTTTAAAAACAACACTATAACTCATAAAACTATGCACAACTACTATATGTAAGTTATAAATTACAATAAAACTATTTTTAAATTCTGTAACTTTTGCTTTAAAAACTTTAAAATTAAAAAGAAAACTCCAACAGAAATCAATATGACACTTCTAAACTTTGTATATCAATATGACACTTCTAAACTTTGTATCAGGCTGATGGTTGTGAATGGAATTTCATATTGTTTTCTTAAGTTATAACTGAGTTTGAGCATATATATATTTGATCAAGATATCAATCTACCTATGTTTACTTTATGCCAATTTTTATACTGTTATCACCATTTCAAGTGATGTTTTGATTTTTGGAAATGACTTTGGGGAGATTTTTTGGCCATACAAAGTTCTAAATTTTAGTTAAATATATGTCTATCTTCTCTTTGTTGGTTTTATTTATTTATTCATTTATTTCTAGCTTTTTATACATTCAATTGAATACATCATTTAGCTTGTAAAGAGAGTTTACCCAAATGAAATACACCTCAGACCAGTCCAGTTGAAAATACTATACACATCATCATTAACAGGTAGTAAACCATGTCTGTGTCCCACAAATGTCTTATTTTTCTATTTTTTCTCTGCATCGTCTTCCTTTTTTTATTTTAAGGTTTTTGCAATAGGGCATGTGCACTCACCAGAGAGAGATAAAGAGAGGCAGAGAGAGAAAGTGAAAAATTATCCCCTCAGAGAGGATGGCCACATAGCAATCTCTTCTCCTCTATCCTCCTCTTGGGATTTTGGGCAGATTCTCACACATGCCCAGTGTGGTTTTTCAAGCTGTGAGGTCTGAGTCTTGAACTGCAGTCTACCATGTGGGAATCCAGCCAACTTGACCATTATGCCCCCTGCTAGCCCTCCATTGCTAATCATCCATTTGTTATTCAGTATTGCTTACTTGTGCTCTACAGAGTGCCTAGAACATAGTCAACATTCCATATGTATTTCTCAAATGCATGAAATAATTTCTCTTTTTCTTTTCATTGTGATTGTAGAATACATGACCTCTTGAGGATAGCTCGAGTGTTGGAAAGAAACTCATAATGTAGATGGTACAAGAATCATCTAGAGGGAAGCACATCTGTATGCAAAACTTAGAAACTAGTGTCTTGACTATAGAATGTAAGTGATCGCATTCTAGCATGTGAGTAATACCTGTTTGTGTCATGTTCTCTGTCTTTTGTTTTAAAAGTTACTTCAAACACATGGAGCCAGGAAATGACAAACAAATTGCAGAATTTCTTCTTGGGGGATTTTCTGAAGAACCAGAATTGCAACTCTTCCTCTTTGGGCTGTTCTTCTCCATGTGCCTGATCACTGTGATCAGAAACCTGTTAATCATCCTGGCCATCATCTCAGACTCCCACCTGCACAGCCCCATGTACTTCTTTCTCTCCAACCTCTCATTTTCTGATATCTGTCTCACCTCTGCCACCATCCCAAAGATGTTGGTGAACATCCAGACACGGAGCAAAGTCATCACCTATACAGACTGCATCACCCAGACATGCATTTTCATACTTTTTGGAGGGCTGGAAAACTTCCTCTTGGCTGTGATGGCCTATGACCCGTATGTGGCCATCTGCCAACCCCTGCACTATACGGTCATTATGAACCCCAGGCTCTGTGTGTTGCTGGTTCTGTTGTCCTGGATCATGAGTGTCCTGAATTCACTATTAAATAGTTTAATGGCATTGTGGCTGTCCTTCTGTACACACATGGAAATCCCTCACTTTTTCTGTGAACTTAATCAGCTGATTCACCTAGCCTGCTCCAACACTTTAATTAATGACACAGGGTTGTATTTTGCAGCTGGGGTGGTGGCCAGTGGTCGCTTTACTGGGATCCTTTACTCTTATTCTAAGATAGCTTCCTCCATTTGTGCAATCTCATCAGCTCAGAGGAAGCACAAAGCATTTTCCACCTGTGCCTCTCACCTTTCAGTGATCTCTTTATTTTATTGTACAATCCTAGATGTGTACCTTAGTGCTGGTGCTCCCCACAACTCACACTCAAGTGCAACAGCCTCAGTGATATGCGCTGTGGTCACCCCCATGCCAAACCCCTTCATCTACAGTCTAAGGAATAAAGACATAAAGAGGGCTCTGAAAAGATATTTAGGAGGGAAGCTTTAAGGACTGTTTTCCAGGAGAGCCAGTGATTGCAGGACCTTACCTCAAAGTCAGATATCATGATTGTTAAATAAGAGCATGGTAATCATGTTTTCAATTTTTTCTTCTTTATTTTATTTTTTACATTCAATCACTGTACACCATTAGAACATACCAAATAAATTTACCCCTAATTAATACACTGTTTATTAGCCCAATCAAAGATACTAACATGCATGTTAGATAATTTTCTATTTTTGTGTTCCTTAAATGTTTGCTTCTTTCTCTTTTCCCTTGATTCCCTCCTTCTCATCCTCCCACTTTTCTCACCCTCCTCCCACACTGTCTCTAGCATCCACAATTGTTCTCAATGTCTTTGTACTTCCAATCTTTCAGTTTCTGCCATAGAGTGCAGACATTGAGTATACATTGAGAGATATAGAATGTCTCTTTTTCATAGTCTGTCTTGCATCACTTAGCATTAAAGCTTCCATATTCATTCACTTTCTGTCAAATGCTAGGGTCTCATGGGTTTTTATGGTTGAGTAGTATTCCAAGGTGTATATTTGCTACCCTTTTTCAATCTATATATCTGTTCATTGAGATTTGGGTTGGTTGTATGTTTTAGCAATTGTGAATGATGTCGATAATGCATGCTTTCAAACTTTTGAAGAGGTTTTTGAGTTCTATCAAATTTTCTGCTAAACCCTTCACAGAGAATTTCTTAAAGATTCTTTTTACTTCTGTAGTTTCCTTTTCTCTTGCTCCTTAGTCAGCTATGCATTTCTTTCCAAGTTCCAATGCCTCCTTGTCAGTCAATTTATCAGGAACCACATCTAGAAGCTCCTCAATATTATTTTCATACACTCCCAGTTTGAAGTCATTTGTCATCTTAACCATAGCTTTATTTTTTTAACCATTCTTTTTTTGAGAGAGACTTTTGCTACAGGGCACATGCACTTGTCAGAGGGAGACAGAGAGGCAGGAAATGAGAAATCCCCCCCCCCCTCATGGGGGGGATGACTATACCGCAATCCCTTCTCCTCCAGTCTCCTCTTGGTATTTTGGGCACACATGCACAAGTGTCTGATATGAATTTCAACCTGCCACATCCAGGACACAAACTGGTCAACCACTTAGGAGCCCAGTGCCTTAACCACTACACTACCTCCTGGTCCCTATTCACTTTATTTTATTATATTATTTTATTTTATTTTATTTTATTTATTTATGGTTTTGGTTTTTGTCATAAGGTGTATGCACTCACTTGGGGTGAAAGAGAAATCACCTTCTCTGCCATGTCAATGATTATGCTGCAATCCTTTCTCCTCCATTCTTCTCTTGGGATTTTGGGTATGCATGCACATGCCTTCTATGTTTTTTAAAGCTGCCAGGTCTGAGACTCAAACCATGGTCAGCCTATGTGAGAGTAGCACCTTAACCACTATACCACCTGCTATCCTTCCTAGTCATAGGGTTTTCAACCTGGTACTCACATTTATTAGAAATTGTTAGGGGTACTTCTGGAAAGAGGTGACATTTGAAAAGCAAACAAACAAACCCAGAGACACAGAAACTTGAAAAGGGAAGGAAAACTGAGGCTAAATGTCCATTGTAAATGTCCTACACATGAGGGTTGAGGAGACATGGGAGCCACTGGACTCTAAGATAATCATGAAGGACAATGTGTTGTGGTGTACAAGGATCCATGCCAGTTTTCTTTCCTTTTCAGTGCACACACCTGGTACACACGCATGCCCATGAGTCTGGTTGCTGTGGCCAGGGGCAAATTACTGTATGAAGACACTTTAGGATTGACCTAGTTTGTGGCATGGTGGTTAAGGTGACTGGATCCCACATAGCCAACTACACAGTTAAATTCCTGGACCAGGTGGCTTGAGGAGCATGCTGGACGTGTGTGCATGCATGTTCCAGATCCCAAGAGGAGGGAGAAATGGAGGAGAAAGATTGTGGCATGATTATCCATGTAGTGGGGAGAAGGAGAAGCTTTCTCATTTTTCTGTCTCTCTGTATCACTCTGGCAAGTGCACACACTCTCCTACCAGTCAGGTTTCATGATTGTTAAGTCCTTATTTATACATAACAAATTATTTTCCAAATATAAAATGTGTTTAAATTGTTTTTTACAATCATTGTATCATTATAGCACACCAAATTAATTTTCCTATCATGAATAAACTGTATATTGGTTCAATCAAAGATACTACCATACACATTATAATCAAATTACTTTCCATTTGGGATTCCTTAAATGGTTTGCTTCTTAGTTCTTTCCTTGATTCTTCCCTCTCACTCTCTGCCGTTTTTTACAATCATTGTATCATTATAGCACACCAAATTAATTTTCCTATCATGAATAAACTGTATATTGGTTCAATCAAAGATACTACCATACACATTATAATCAAATTACTTTCCATTTGGGATTCCTTAAATGGTTTGCTTCTTAGTTCTTTCCTTGATTCTTCCCTCTCACTCTCTGCCATTTTCCCC